AGAAAAAAAAAAGAACAAGAATAGAAGAAGTGAAAGGAAATAAAGAACAAAAGAAATAAAAAGCAAGAAGCAAAAACAAAGGACAAAAAAATCAGAAGGCAAAAGAAGTAAAAAAACAAAAGAAACGAAAGCAGAAAATATAGAAGCAAAGACAAAAAAGCAAAGAAAAAAACGAAAAACAAATAAAGCAAAAAGCAAAGAAGCAAAAGCAAACAAAGCAAAATGCAAACAAAGCAAAAAGCAAACAAAGCAAAAAGCAAACAAAGCAAAAAGCAAATGAAGTAAAAAGTGCAAAGCAAACGAAGTGAAAAGCAAACGATGTAAAGAGCAAAAATCAAACAAAGCAAATGAAGCAAAAAGCAAAAATCAAACAAAGCAAAAAGTGCAAAACAAACAAACAAAAAGCAAAAAGCAAATGAAACAAGCAAGTGAGCAAAAAAAGCAAAGTAAAAAAAAGCAAAGCAAAAAGCAAAACAAATGATTATCAAAACCGATCTGATTATTGTTTATATTAGAGATACACAATCATGCAGGTACACAAAAAACATTTTCCCTTATAACTTTTATAATTTATTTATAAAAATTTAAACTTGTATTAAGAGCAAAATTTTTTTTAGTTTTGGGAACATATAAAATCTTAAAGAATCTTGAAAAATTTTTAATAAAAAAAATTTTTTAAACAAAAACTTTGAAGTTTTATTGCTTAATTGATGATTCGCCTATCAACTGAAGAAAATTTTATATAATAATATGATACAGATCACTTATACGTAGAGTATGAATTAAAATTTTGAGAGTATAAGTAAAGTTACTAAATTTAAATAAATCTTTATATAAAAAGTAATGTAATTGATAAAACAGTATCATGAGCATTTAATTTTAAAATTTTAAAATCTAAAACGGTTTTATAAAAAGTTTATATTGGACGAACACAGTATTTCTTATATTTTATATATGTAGATTATCTAAATATATACAATCATATATATATAGTTTGTAACCTTAATAGTGAATAGTTTATGATTTTTTTTTAATAATAGTCTTGAAACAAATATCAGAAAATTATTAGCAAATGTATTTTACAAGAACACTAATTTTGAGTTATTTTTTTAACAATAGTTATAGATCAGACGTTAAAAAAGCATTAGTAGATATGCTTTACAAGAATACCAATTATCAATTTGAGTTCACTACATTATACTAACTTTTTTTAATAATAGCCTTGGATCAGATATTTGAAAAGCATTAGAGGCATGCTTTACAAGAACACCAAATATCACTTTAACTTTACTACCTTTTTTATAGTTTAATAATAGCCTTAGATCAGGCATCAGAAAAGCATTAGAGATATGCTTTACAAGAACACCAAACATCATTTTGATTTTATTATAGTTTTAGTCTTGGATTAGATATTAGCAAAGCATTAGCAGATGTGCTTTACAAAAACACCAAACATCACTTTGACTTTATTGCATTATGCTAACTTTCTTAATAATAATCTTGAATCAGATATCAGAAAAGCTTTAGCAAATGCATTTTACAAGAATATTAAATATTACTTTGACTTTACTGTACTATACTAACTTAGGTTTTTTTTAAATAATAATCATAGATCAGACATCAGAAAAGCATTAGCAGGTATGCTTTACACACCAAATATTACTTTGACTTCACTACACTATATTATGTTTTTTTAAATAATAATCTTGTTAGATATCAAAAAAGCATTAGCAGGTGCACTTTACAAGAACACTAAATATCACTTTAATTTTACTATACTGTACTACCTTTATTTTTTTAAAATAATAGTCTTGGATCAAATATCAGAAAAGTATTAGCAGGTATGTGTTACAAGAATACCAAAAATTACTTTGATTTGTTTTAAATAATAATCATAGATCAGATATCTAAAAAGTATTAGCAGGAGTGCTTTACAAGAATATCTGAAAAGTATTAGCAAATGCACTTTACAAGAACACAAAAATTACTTTAACTTCACTTCATTATACTAACTTTGTTTTTTTTTTAAATAATAGTTTTGAATTAGATGCCAGAAAAGTATTAGCAGGTATGCATTACAAGAATATCAAAAATTACTTTAATTTTTTTAAATAATAATCATAGATCAGATATCTGAAAAGTATTAGCAGAAGTGTTTTACAAGAACACCTAACATCACCTTGACTTCATTGCATTATACTAACTTCATTTTTTTTTTAAATAATAGTCTTGGATCAGATGTCAAAAAAGCATTAGCAGGTGCATATTACAAAAATACCAAAAATTACTTTAATAATAATCATAGATCAGATGTTTAAAAAGTATTAGCAGGAGTGCTTTACAAGAACACCTAATATCATCTTGATTTCACTGCACTATACTAATTTTTTTTTAATAGTTTTGGATCAGACATCTGAAAAGTATTAGCAAGTATACTTTACAAGAACACCAAACATCACTTTGAATTTACTGTACTATACTTTCTTCAAGAAGTTTTTTTTAACAATAGTTTTTGCTTCTTGCTTTTTATTTCTTTTGTTCTTTATTTCCTTTCACTTCTTCTATTCTTGTTCTTTTTTTTTTCT